AATTTTAGCCCATCCAACCCTTGGACACTTTCAAAAAGAGCAGAAAAAGAGCAAGGAAAAACAGATTATCTACACACAGAAACCCATTCCTTCTCCTCCCCTTTGTACCATGGGGCATCACCCGCCAGAAGCCCTACAGAGTATTTGTGCCCTTTTAGCAACTTTCCCTTTGGTTTTAATGACTTCAGGCAAGAGGGCTCAGCAGTGATGTAGGACCTGCAGGGCCCTGAACAAGGATGAGGAGACATGGCCTCAGTACAGAGCATTAACAACAAGGTGGCCGCAACACACAACCGACCACACGTGGAGGAAGAACCTCTATGAGAAGGGGCTCGCTGGTTTGCACGAGGTGTCAGTGCCACAAAACCACGTTTCACAACCTAAAGCCCTTTCTAGAGATGTGACCTCAAGTACCCAAGTAAATACTAGGAAAAAAATTGTGGTGGCTTGAAGACGACATTTTACTTTGGAACTGGAGAAGGGGAAGAGTGAACGTGTGACACGCTAACTTCCTGTACAGATTCCTCACAGATGGCAACTTCGTGCACAGTAGCTCACGCTCCCTCATTTAGGGGGTTGATAACGTCCCGTTTATCCACTGGAAAGCCTGCAAAGTAGAAGCAGCTATGAAGTGCAGGGACATGTCAAGAGCAGCCACCAGGCCTGTAAAACTGATCTTAAACCAGCAACAGCAAAGAAATAAAAAACCTTGCTTTACAAAGCCAAACAATTGGTAAGGTGTGGGGTTTTTTGTTTGTTTTTTAATTTGACTTGCAGTTTCATCTTAGTATGGGATACTGTTATTAACTTCCACGTTAAGCAGTGATAAGGAGCAAAATTACTCCCACTGCCTACGTGCTTTTAATTGAAATTTCAGTACTCGGTATTTTGGAATGGGAAGAGGCATACTTCAAAACTTTGAGGACCTTATTTCCGTGGAAGCTCTACTTGCAGCCTTGAAGAGGTACACCAGTTTATAGATTACAACACACTTTCTGCAGACTAAGATATTCAAAAGTTAAACTTCAGATTGTGACGACGCTCTGTTTGAGCCACAACCTTGGCACTACTTACTGCTTACTCCTAAGTGACAAGTTTAAAGCTGGTTCTTTAATCTTAAGTGGTTCTGCTGATATACTTTCTATCTAGGTTGTGGGAACATCTCAAAATGTTTCCAGAAGTTACAGAAAGTAAACTCAAAGATGTGAAGGTAAAGTCTGAAAAAAACCCAAACATTTAGGGGAATTTCATACACACACACCCCCCACCCTCCCAGGAAAAGGTTGCAGGGCTGGTTAAAAATCTCATGCCTGTACCACACACTGCATGTACTTTATTTCTTTTGGTTTCTCTAAGTCTTTTGGACTAACAATAGTACCACATGTCAGAGGTGTGGCAGAGGGAAATTTAGTAAAGCACTGCCTTAGATCATTAGGACCAGCTTTCTACTACAGCTCTACCAAAACCAAACAAAAACTAGACTGTGATTGTTGGATAAATCCTTCCCAGAGGGAGAAGTATTAAGTATTTCCATATTTCATAAACTTTCCCATCTCAGAAGGATATTGCAGGGTATGTAGGGAGAAGGAAAACTACCTTTGTTAACAACTTGGAAGAGGGAACCAAAGAAAAATGAAGTCAAACACATCCACCAATCCCTAGATTCAAGCATTGAAATTGCATCCCAGCAGCTACAAAGTTCAGACAACTACTTCACATAGCATTAGCAGAATGCACATGAACACCGAATTCCTGAAGATACAACACAGCTGCTTCACTTTCTAAACAGGTCTTCCCTTAAAATCAACTGTGAACAAGTGATGTTTAGATGCCCCAGTCAGATTTTGGTTTTCTTCTGGAAGAAACAGTATCAAGATCTTTCCCTACTTTTTATATGTTAGTAAAGTTCTGCTTACTAGCATATTTTAGAAACTCTCACTGCTACAATAGTAAGTTACAGGTCGCAATTTCCTTGCTGAATTTCCATAGCAAGAGAAGCCTTTGAGCAAACTATTTACATCAAATAGACAATCAAGCACTTTCCTCCTGTGGTTGCTTCCCGGCGCTCTTCAGCTATGTAGGCAGTGACATAATTGATTTCACTTGCCGAACTAGAAAAGGCTGTACCAAAGAAGTGCATCTATAGCAGGAAAGTCTAAACCCACCAACCTTTTCCACTGTAGGCCATGCACTGAAAAAAAAAAAAAAAAAAAAATCTGTTACTTCAATAAAGGAGTTCCAAATAAGCCTAGAAGAGAATTCTAGATAGAAGATCATCCTGTAACGTGAAGCATACAGAACTTCGCAGCAAAAACTAAGCACAGCAGAGAAGCATGAACGGTCAGCACCCACACGAAAAAGTTATAGTGAAGAAACCCACAGCTCTGCTGCCCCAGTGGGCCATGACAAGGTTTCTCTGGGATGGAACATCAGTGATAAGATAGTCCATATAAGATCCACAACAGAGAGCTCAGAGGATAAAGAAGAAGAAAAACATGGCAGAGAGAGACAAGTCTACCGCAAAATCTAGTCTGGGGAAACACTTTCACACGACATGCACGCTTCCTCCTGTGGCACAATCAAGGCAAAGATTCAAACCACAATGAGGCCTTTCTAGGACACCAGAACTAGTGAATTTAAAGTGGCAAAAAAACCCCAAAAAAACATATCTCCAATGTTTAAAGGACATACAGTGCCAGCTCTGAGACAGCCCGCCACCCGGGCTGCAGGCGCCCGAAGGCCTGGACTTGGGGGCGGTGGGCCGGGCAAGCTCCTGAGGCAAAGCATGCCGAGACGGGGTTAAAAGCTTAGCTGATGGCTGACCCATCAGGTGTCTTTTTTTAAGATTCCTGATGGGGTTTGGGCAGAGTTTCATGCAAGTCGAACCATCCGGGCAGCACGACTGATTTTAATGAATCGGCAAATTCCAACTAAGACTTTTTTCCACCATTTCTGATCAGCTCCCACCAAGAACCTAACCTCAAGTTTTCAGTTCCTCTTTAAACCACCAACGATGACTATAACCTGCTCTTTCTCTGGGGTGTCCGAGAGACACTTGTGTGTCTTCCTGAGGGGGCCCACAATGGCTCTGACCCACGCAGACCTCAGGCCTGATCCACTGCGGGCGCACCTGAGCTGTGGACAGCGGGAGAAGGCTTCACCGTAACTGCGTTTTGCCCCAATTCTGTTTCACTGCATCCGTCTCTTCTACAACATAAGTGGCTGTAGTGAGGCTCCAGCAAGGAGCTACGATGCGGTAACTGGCCCACCCCCAAGCTGCAGAAACTAGAAAGGAAATCAAGTGATTCCTCCCGCAAGTAAGTATTTAAGCAGTATTTCTGTAACATAAAACCACTCTGATGACTGCAAATCCAAAAGGGACCCAAGAGCAAACACAGGGAAAGAAATTTTGTTGTGTGAGAAGGAACTTCTGCTCCAGTTAAAAAGAATACATACTGGACTGATCTGAAGCTGCCTATAAATATTCAAGAACATCAAAGCCGGTCCTGTTAAATTAAAAACGCTGTCACACAGATAGGAACTAGCCTCTAGCACTGCCAGCTTCAACATGTGAGCCTCTGATCTGTGAGGCAGAGGCTCAGCTCTTCAAGAAATTTTATTCACCATAAGAAGGAAAAAAAAAAGCAAAACCAGCAGTTGAGTTTAATAAGGATATTAAATGCCTTACGAGTGAGCTAATTAGAACTTAACTCTTTCAGGACATTTCAGCCCTTTTACTGACAAGGACAGTAGTTTCTTCCCATATTACTCCCACAGCTGGGACGTCTCCAGGCTCTGGGAATGTTCCTATCCAAGCTTCTGAATCAAACACTTATTCAGCCTTCAGAAACCAAAAAGATTTTGCTGGTTTCATCTCAGTGTAACCTTAATTTAATGACACTGCCATACATCACACATACACACATGTGCACACATTCTGGCCAACTATTCCACATCAGGGGTCTTATGTTTAATAGCAAAGCTGTCCCATGAGATTTCAAATCCTCATCTTGCCATAATTGCCTGAAGGTAACAAGAGGGGTAGACAAAAGGAGACCAGGTCACTTCATTTGACTTCTGTTATTTGAGGAGATTCATGTCCCAGTGGCAACTGAATATAAACAAAATACATGCAGTTGAGAAATTCATCCCAACCTGCAACTACAACCCTGTTATTTCACTACAGAATAACCCCTGTAAATTCCCAGTATCAAAACCTACAAAGATTATCACCAAATGTTACAAACGTAGCGGGCCAGAAGGAACTCTGGCAGCACAGCTTTCTCAAGAAAAATAGCAAAAAACCCAAATAAGACCACACCTTGGGAGTTCTTTTGCATTAACTACTCTGCAATGTCTTTTCTTTAGACAGTTTGGGGATGCAAAAGATAGTATCTTTTAAACAGGCAAAACCCTGCCAGCTACCAGATTGGGGATACCTTGCCTCTGAGCAAAAAGAGGTCTCCAGCCCTTGGCTCCTATTAAATACTGAACTCAGTAGCATCTCCTGGCTCTGTTTCATGGGTTCATTTCTTGCTCCCAGCCTTGCTACACACATCATTCAGGACATCTGCCAGCTTGGCATCCAGACCATAAAGCGTTCAGGTCCCCTTTATCCTCACAGTGTTCAAGACAGTATCAGCTCTAAATGGCTTCTGAGTAAATACAAAACAGGTATGAGAAAGTATGCTGGACCCTTGTGAAATACAACACTGCAATGGGAACCAGTACATTTCTCTGTCACAGCATACACACTCTTCAGAGATTGCCTTAGGAGAAATCCCCATCTAAGAAAAGGGCAGCAGATGCTATGCTGCATATCCTAACCTCTATCCTTATCTCCAAAGACAACAAGGACAGGTAAACCTTCAGTGGAGGAAGGACAGCAGAAGTGTGCCCAACTGGCATGCTATATATATATATATATATATATCAATGGTTTATCTATGAGACACAGGTATTATTGTTATTACTGTTGTTGTTATTAAAATAAAATCCACCAAGGCTCAATTGCTAGTGCCACCATTTAGCCAGGCCCAAACAAGAAGTCTTCAAGTATAGTCTCTGTGAGGTGGGGGGTTGGATAAAAAAAAAAAAAAATAAAATAAATCACAGCCTTTAATAGTGGTTCTTCTCTATGAACCACGGAGTTTCAGAACTGACCCATCAGTGGATAAAAATGAACAAAACACCTTCTGCAATTCCAAGTCAGTCCTCCAAATCCACTTTTCTTGATCTGTCAAAGTGGAGTGTTTAAGGTTGGAAACTTCCAGTTCTAAAGGTGAACTCAAGTGAAAGTTTGGTTAGAGTCTCTTCTGCTTAGGGGGGCAGAGGGGAGTGGATAAAGAGAAAAATAGAAGAGAAGGATTTTTCCCACCCATACTTAATACACTTTTTATTATACTTTTTTTTAAAGCAGGCAAGCATCAAAAGCCTTAAAGTAAGAAAACAGATCTGGCACAAATGAGGGTCCTGAATTAAAAGCAATTTTTCGAACACTACAATCAGAAGCAATTGAAAGTTGCTTACCAAGCACATGCAATAAATTCACAGTAGGAGGCACGTACTTGCAACATGCGTGCCTGTACAGCTAATTAAACAGTTGTACTCGGCAGACTCTAAAACATGCCCCTCAGTTCCTTGTCAGGCCACTCACCTCCTCACCAATCCCTCAGTTTGCTTTACTACTGGAAAATGATGCAAAATAATAAAACAGCTTAAGCTCACGAAAACCAGCAGAAATCTTAAAGCTTAAACCTAAAATCCTTACATTAATGCACAGAGTAACATGGGTCTGGAGCCCAGAGCCTGCATATATTAAGCTACATATTTCAGGGTGTACTTGTGTCTGGAACATAACAGGCACCTAATCAACCTTTGTAAACTGGCTTTTCATCTTAAAGCCAAGTGCAACAACAAAAGTCTTTTAAAGCAGCATGAAAAGGAAATTAAAAAAAAATGAATGAAAGCAATTTGCCACTGTGAAGAGGACACCCTAAGCCACCAGAACCCTATTTTCCAGAGCACTACTACTCAATCCTAACATAAGCACAGCTCCACCAAGTGCAGTACAGTGCAATTTTTGGCAGTGTCTACTGGGTATCTGCAAGATCATACTCCCCATGTCACCTCCGGTTCAAGTGTCAAGCAGTCAAGAAAAATGCGAGAAAAAAAGGGGGTTTTTTTCACGTGAATCTTCTGTTGCTGTTGTAACAATTTCAAAACATGTCTTTGTTTAAAAACAATCTCTTTTTCATTTGCCAACCTCCTTTAATGTGAATGGCTCTCCCTTCAAGCCAGGAAACACGAGAAATAAGGCCAAGCTTTCAACTTGCATTCATTCTGTTTTCATATGTAGGCACCACAAGCTCTGGTCTGACCACATCTGAATACTGAAGTGCAGATGCCTAAAAGAATAGATAGTACATACAAGGTAATATTTAACACTTCCTAAATTGAACACTTCTAATGTACTAACTGTATTAATGCAAATACATGTGCCACTTCTATAACTGGGCAGAACACACAGCAGGTTACTGCCTCCAGGTCTTACCTTTCCTTAACCAGTAAGATGCTGGCGTCTTGAAAGCATTCACACTATGAAAAACTATGTTTATGAAAGTTATTTTGGTCCAGAAGGGCCTCACTTTGAAATTCCAAAACAAGGACTAGAAGACTGTAATAAAAAAAAGGAGCATTTTTAAATACACGCTCCACCACAAGATGGTATAAACTGGAAGAAAATTACTATGTATGCTAATCAATGGTTTTATACAGCTACTCAAGACTTTCCTATAAGATCTGCTTGCAGCAGAGCTGCCTGCGTTTCTTTCTCACCAAGTTATGCCACACCAAATCATGACCTCCACATGCTTCACCTGGAGCCATTTCAGAAGCCCTTCACTAGGCAAAGCAACTACAAGGAAGTTTCCCCGTCCCATAATCACATCCACCCGTGGAGCGCTCAGGGAGAGCGGGGGCCAGTTCTACCCATGGGGCGCTGCTGGCCGCAAGTGCTGGTAACACTGTGAAGCAGGCTGTAATTATACCTAAACCATTATAGTCACATAGATCCAGTCTCAACATAAATATATATAAATGAAAAAACAGTTCTCCAAATGGCTCCATGTTTAACAATGTTTGAGTGCCGCTCCTCTCTGGGATTTTTTCCTAGTTCCACCTCCCAAACAAGCAATGGGAGCACATGGAAAAGGAAGTGGTCAGCATCCTGCCAGCAAGGGCAAGGTCTTCAACAGTACAGACCTCAGACATCTCTATGGAGGTTTAACTAAACTTACGGACTACGCAGAGAAGTTACCTGAAGCCCCACAAACTATTTTTTCCCCACGTGATTCCCCACCTTTATTTGGTAGTGAACAGAAACTGCGCTGGTTGGCCTGAGTACAAGACCCAGTACTGCAAGCTTTCTGCTTCTATTTACTTCCTTAACCTACTTTATTCTTGTTCCTCTAAATAGGTCACATTAGTGTTTTTTGCTCTTTCCATTGTACCTCTCCTCCATACTTAGATAGCTTTTACTTCATTTTCTAACACTGTGCCTCCCACCTTCTCCTCGAGGGAGTGTCTCAGTCTTGGGTGCTGACAAGGCGTTGGTACAAGGATTCTGGTATTGCTGCAACTCTGTGCAAATGCCACTGACATCAGTGCTTCCCCCAAAACCAGTAAGTCATCACAGAATTTGGTACCTTATCTTTTGAAGAGCCCTCTCCCCTGTAGTAATGGCTAGAAACATTTATTTATTCTTGCCTTAGACTCGTTTAGAAGCAGTTTGCACAGGTGCCCTAACAATGTAATAGTCTAAAGCTTGAAAGTCCGAAGTTTTTAACTAGGTAAATATGATTTACCGGCCCTTAAAATTCCATTATAATTTCTGGGTTTATATTAACTATTTTCATAAGGTGTTTCCTTTTCCAGAAGACATGAAAGATGACATGAAACTGTGCAACCGAAGGAGAGAGAAGGATGTTATGGCAGAAGGTTTAAGCAGCCAAGCGCCCCTCCTCACCACAATCTTTGACCCCACCCTCTTAAATTCTCTCCGTGTTGCACCTTAACAGGATGGCACATGTACGGGATTCTCAAAGCAGAGCACTACAGCTGCAGACAGATATCTCACAATAGCCAGCAGCTACCACAGAAGGAGTTACCAAGTCCTTTCGCCACCACTCCAAGACGCATCTTGGATACCGCAATGTCAAAGAATTAATAGACAATAAGGATCTTTATTTACAATACTACGTTCAGAAGCCAGCGAGAACAGGCAACTTCTTCCAAACTAAAGCAGCAGTGGTGAATGGGTTGGAGCTCACACTGTGAGGACAGTCCAGGGTCAAGGCAAAACAGTAGAAGAGGATGACCGAGCTATGCAAAACGCTTCGACGGGCTCTCTTCAGGTCTCCCACACCAGAGTACGTGATGGACTAAAGCATGACTGAAGCTCACAGAAAAGGAGGGGAGGAACAGAGGGGGAGATGGAAACTGGGGAACAGCGAGATTAACTGCATCCAAGATCAAGCCCAGGACAATACCTCTGCTGCAGGAAAGCTGCTTCTGCAGGACTCACTCTGTAAGGGCTGTCCAGGTCCAGTAACTCTGCAAGTCTTTACCTTAACGACTCCTTATTTTAAATGTGAATTACACTTCCTTTATCCCCCTAGTCTTCTGTAAAGGACCCAGACCTGTAGTCACCTGTTGCACTCCCATGAAAAACACCCTCCTTTCACAGCACAAAAAACCTCAACTGGCAGGGATAGAGCAGGTGACCCTGGCCCTGAAGGAAGCAGGGCAACTCGGGGCAATCTTCATTCTTCTGTCAGAATCTACTGACAAACAAACACCGATCAAGCCCAGATCAGGCACAGCACACCACAGAAACTACAGGAGCCTGCTGTCCACAGGATTAAATCTCTGGTTTTCACCTTTTTTTCAGCTATCAACTCTCTCCCGTAACAGAGAAGATTGGCAAGCCCTGCCAGTTCACTGAACAAATGGAAACGTCCAGTTCAGGTTTCAAAACCTGCACCTATGCTTTAAAGAACTGAAATTTCAGAAAACTTACAACCAAAACTTGTATTTTGCTATTCAATGCATATATCAAGGCTGTGATATAGAAGAGTCTTGTTCCTACCAGGGGGATAGTCAAGTCTTAATACAATAACCAGAAAACAAAAGAAAAACTGAAGCTTAGATTAGACAAGGTTTCTGATCCACAAAGCAGCAAAGCAACAAGTATAGAAATTACTCACTGCTCTGACTCATAACAGACACACACCTGATGCTGTTATAGTCAAAAAGGAGTCGTCAGTGACTTGTCATTATTTAATTAAATTATTAAAAAATTTTAAACGGGAAATAAGCACTGTGAAAGCTCAGATTTTATTTTTTTTTTAAAGACAGCTGCAATTAAGTCTCTTCTATTCATGATTCAGCTTTGTTATCTATTTAACACAAGCTCCTTAACTTTCAGCAGGCCTTCAGAAAGTGATGGGACTCATGGTTCTGTCTGACCAGTTCAGATGAGAGGCTCGAGCAGGACAGTGCTTAGATTCAACAGCTGAAGATGGACATCTCAGAGATCACTATCCTCATATGCCTTGCAACACTTGCCCATTGTGATGTTATGAACAGATGCTCAAAGACTGGAGATCAGAGAGGACAACACTTATAACCTAGTCCCACTTCTCATACAAGACACAACAGATATGTTCCAGGTCTTCCGTCTTTGTACCAAAACACAGTAAATGGTGAACAGCCCCTCTCATCCTGTTCTCAGCATCCACAGGGTGTCAATTCTTTGTTCTCCATCAGAATGAAAGTGCCACATTCCAATGACAGCTCAGCTCCAAGATACTTTCCTCCAAGGACACAACGACAAAACAAACCCAAAGCCCCACAGGCTGGTACTGGGAACTCAGTTTTACCAGAGAAATGTATTATTCCTGATGTCCTCAGGATCATCACTGTAAGCCACAGCTTTACAGTTAAGGTGTGGAAATGAACAC